CCCGGAGTTTGCGCTCTTTGTTTCCCGGAGAGGACTCCGATCCCGCTGTGGCCGCCCTCGGCGCGTCCGCAGGACGGGGCTGCCACCCTGCGCGCAGCCCGAGCCCCGGGGGCGCGGCCGCGGGGCACCGAGCGCTTTACGTGTTGCGGCGGACCTGGAGGATGAGACTTTCCCGCGTCGCCCTTTTAAGCTCCCAGATTCGGACCCTCTCCGTCTCTTTTCCAGGGACTCCGGCTCTGTTCATTCTCGGGTTGTTAAGCATTGCTGTGTACCATCTAGAAATGCTCTGAGAATTTTTGGATTTCGTCATTGTTAGTGATGGTGACTTGAAAAGACGGAAAACAGAAAAGATTCCCCTCTCGGAACTTTTAAATCTTTCACTTAATTTTGCACGGTTATTTCTAAATCATGAGCACAGTTTCAGTCCTGCATGATATGAGATTCAAGAATAAAGAAAGCACTACAGATTGAAAATCTTTGTCAAGGTAAAAAATAGATTGTGTATTTTGATTCTCTCTCGCTGAGTATTCACCCAGTGCGTTTGGGAAGTGCCGTCTCTTTACCAAACACTTAGCTCTTACTTTGTACTGCGCTCTTTCTAAGTGCTTTATAAATATTAACTCAGATTCTTAATTCAAAATATTAAATTGTGGTTCTAGCTATGAAATGGCTATGTGCATATTTTAGTTCCCTAAATATCATAGAAGGAGCTGGAAGCACGAAAGGAAGTTTCGGGCTTATTTTAGGACTTGGGTGTGCCTTTGGCCCCCTGGGCTACCACTCCCATTAGACAGGCCTCCACCGCTGGATATCTAGAAGGAGGGAATGTGGAGCTTCAGGAATCCGACCTGTTGCAAGCAGGTTCAAGTTCTAAAAGCCTTCTGTGAAATGGTCTCTCGTCTGCCGCGGTGCCCATCAGCTAATTCTGGAGAGACCAGAACTTCCGTTTTTCTTAACTACCACTCCATCAAGTCTAATTTTGCTTTTTAAAAGGAACTTTATTCTTGATGTTTGACAGTGCATACGACACAGCTCAGGTCAGAATAAACATGCAGTGTTCCACAAAATGGAACATTCTTGTTTATACACATCAGCATAAATTATGCTTTGTAATTTTACTGCCTTTTGCTATTGGTAACATTGAGTTGGTGAGTGAGCCTTGTAGTTGTCTATTTTGTGATTGCCAGGTACATAGAGGATATGTTTCCCTTGAAATGAGCGCCTCGGCCTGATGACCACACTCGTGGATCTTCTGAAATGGTGAATAAATATTCTGTTATTGCGGTGATTGTATATATAATGTTAAATTGGGTACATTGTGTTTGTTTTCTTCTCCTTTCCTCCTGGTACCCCTCATATTTGAATTTCTAGGGTGTGATTAAATGGGACGATAAACCTTATTAAATGGGATTATGAAGTGTCCGTTGAAGCAGGAAGGCTTACTTTGTTCTGCTGTAACTTATGGCAAGACAGACATTAGTGGCCTTCATGAAGTCAGTTTGACCAAGGATATCTGACAGTTTCGTGATTTACTAGGTGTCTCCAGACTTACTGTGCTCATTGTCTTTAAAGAGAGTTTGTTAAATTAGTAGCCATTTTAAATTCTCTTCTGTATAAGTGAAGAAACAGGCAGAGAAATGTTCATGTTAGTTTTATCCCTGATTGTACAGCTGCTGAGAGGCAGAGCTTGATTAAAGAGTAGGTTATGGACACAGTCTGGCGTGTGCAGACTTGTAAAACCATTTGTAGAATGAATGAGTCCAAATGACTTCAGGTATCTTGCTCTTTCAATACACACCTGTCAAAAATGCCATCATAACTGATTTGTGTCAGAGATTTCCAGGCATATGCCAGTGCCTCTTCTGTTTCAAACAGTATCTGTTGTAATACCTTTTCTATAAAAAGGATGGGAATGCTTTTGACTCATTTCTAAGAACTTGTGGTCTCTGGTTTTTAAAAAACAAAACAGCCACCACCCCAAGCTCCGTATCTTTTTTCTACGATTTCGAGTTTTGAGTGGGCACACAGTGTTTGTGCTGACAGCTTTCTTCTGTCTCTACACT